TCGCTCTGTGCAACGGTGAAATAGATCTTCCAATTACCTACACATCCTGTAAAAAAGAGTCCGCCAATAAACAAAGCTGGGTGATGGATTTTAGATCGCAACCTCATATGTCATTACAACTGATAATTGTTTTTGGTACTGGAGCTATAGTTATTTTGCACAAAAAATAATAATGCATAATATGAATGAAAGAAAACCATGTGTATTCTCTATGTCTACAGAACTAACACAAGCATACACAATATTGTATAAACACTATAAATATATTCCTAATAAGGATTTAAATTACATAATTTAACATAAAAATGCTTGCGTTGAATCCGTCTATACAAAGATCAACGTTCCCTCTTCGAAAACATCGTTATATCATGGTAACGGGGTTTTCTTTAAAACATCTACTTATGATGTATGTCTACAGAACTGAAACTATCATACACACCATTGTGACTTATAAAATAGGTTTCAAATGTTACCTTTCCTGTAAATCGGTAGCCTTCCATCCTTTCTGTTATCTTTCCATATCTCAGTTTTTCCTGCGTCTGTTTCGTGTTCCTTTCGCATTTGTTCAAATTGAACTGCTTTTTCTACATCACGTGTAAATGATTCTGATCGTTCAAGCTGAAGGAAGTCTACTAACTTAAGTATAGTGCCATATGTATTCTGAAAAATAAGATTACGAGACGTTGTATACAAATAACATTAACAATGTGGTATTCCGCATGTAATATAATTAAAACCTGCTAGTGGGTAGGCAATTATCAAGTATTAAGAATACCCCTTTAGTTGCTGCTGAAAATATCTCCGCAAACTTTTCAATGGAAGACAGCATAATACAAATGCTAACAACTGTGGGATTGTGGTGAAGCATACCAAGTCAAGGGATCTCAATAATCTGTTATATAGGAGGAATTCTGACTAAATGTTATGACCACATCAACAATGAATTGGAGAGATTGTCAGAACCTTTCGACATAAATGAAAAATTGGATGAACTCTTTGCATGATATGCATTTTCGTTCTTCGAGGGTTCATTAGTGGTTGAAACATATGTGGCGCTTAAAGAAAATCGAAATTAATCAAAATAGTTTTAAAAACAACTGGGAGGTTAATATCTAATTGAAAGAAGATCATGATTTTCATCAGTAAATTATTTCAAAAGAGTTTATGTGAATATTCTGAACCATGCCACAATTCATGAATTAAAACATGACAGGTAGGTTACGAAAAACCTGTGAGACTAGAACTTCTTCAACATATGAAACTTGTATTATTGATTTTACATGGCTAGCAAGATCATTTCGGTAAACTTACTTGATGATAATTAAGTGATAAAAGGTGACCATATGACAAACCTGTTTGATTTCTTCGTATTGTAGAGAAAGAATTTTAAGGTCTTTATTCAAGTGTTTGGCATTCTCCCAACCTCTGGCGTATGAAAACCAATTTCCTCCAAACATTGCAACTAGAATGATTGAAAAAGGAAACGTTCTTTTTGCTTATTTGATTTCTGTTGTAATGAAGATTAAAGCAGGTAAACAGTGCTACAGAATGATCGTATCAACTGTAGTTATCACAGGGTTACTTCAAGTAAAATATAACGACTGCCAAGTGTTTAAAAAAACTGTAATCAATATAACAGTCATGTGTCAAACGATACACAGTCATGCCATACTTAAACCTAAGCGAAACTTGCTTACTTGCATTTTCGACCAAGACAAAAAGTCATATTCGGAGGGAATTTTTTTTTAAAATAAGGCGGGTTTTCCACTCAATAGCCCACAAAAATAACCCATGTCCTACTTGATAATTACATAATTATAATATATCATTATGTGTTTTTGGATTATTGGACATGATACATACTAAATTTAAATCGCATTTAATCATCACAACAACAGGTGTTTGATAAATGTTTTCATTTCTGTGATATCACGATAGAAAAGTATTTACTGTTAATTATATTATGTACCGAGGTCTTATTTTAAATCAATGTACTATATATCTAATACCATGGAATATTTTCGCCCTTAAATACATTCTCTATAAATACTCTCTTTCTGTACTACAAAGTCTTAGCAATAGAAATATCGAAAATATTTTCATTCGGTATACATTAATACTATATCATGAACTTGCCTTGAACTTTCGCATTGCTTTTTGCTGGGTTCCTGGACACATGGGAATACCAGGCAATGAAAAAGTAGATTGTACCGCAAAAAAAGCTTGATCGCTACCATCTGTTGTTTTTAAACTTCATTTACCATTTATCAAACAATTTTTAAAAGCTCAGTGGCAGAAGTCGTGGAATCAATATACTATTGATGAATTGCACTCCATAAAATCTGTCATCGGTGAATGTTCTCAATGCTAAAGAAAATGTTAATTTAGGAAACTGTTCATCCTACCATACTGGACTAAGTGATTTTGTCATGGTATCATACATACGCCACTCTTAAAACAAGTTCCAAAAATGGAAATTTTCCATGACAACTTCTTTTGTGGCAACGATAAATTTCAAAGCAGTATCTGGAGTTAAAAAAATACAGCTGTCATAAAATACCACCCATCTTTTCAATGCTATTTTATCATGGCAAATATCCAAATTGCTTCAAAAAGTAATATAAAATCTAGTATGTATTTTAACCTATTACCTATTGCCTTGAATATAAGAGGAACAAATCATTTTGATTACAAAGATATCGTTATGATTTCATTATCTTCAATATGCCCCGTTTACATGTACTTTTCCGTGGATGTATTTACATGTATGTACATAAATTCCAGAATGTATATTTCTTTAACTTACATAACGCAAAATTATACATAAGGCTCAAATAAATGCGAAAAAAATATATTTACATTCATTTGACAGACAGAAATCCAAAAATCCATTGAAATCGCCTTCATACATCGATTTTTTATCTCCTTTGCAAAATTCATAGTGAGACGTTATCGTGTCCTTCGGGTTTCGAAGAACATGCACAATTTTCACTTGACCCAGTCTTGCCATTTTTGGAATTAATGGGTAGGTAAGGTGAGTGTGGATCGTCCGAGGTGATTCAATCTTTTCCAGATCGCTGGGTGAATGGAACTCTAACATGTATGGCGTCCCTCTGTATTGTAGGTTTTTCGATCGCAACATCTGTATAATGTTGTACACCCAGTGGGTTCCTGGAGCAAAAACATATACACACGATACGAATCCCCTGATGGTTCCAAAATGAATTTAATTTAATAAGGAAGATGGTTAAGTGTATGAAACCTGACCTAAATCCATCAACTAATGAAGCTGTTAGAGTGCTGACAAGGATTTAAAAAAAAATAGCAACGATGACTGGACCTTAACAACCCTGAAACTCGATTTCGTTACTTAACCCTGCATCCAGGAAACTCAAATTTGCCTTTAATGCTGTCAACAATCTTCTGAAAATAAATAGTAATTGTGATCTTAACTTGAACCCTACAACTCAGAAATTGCACGCTGACAAGAATTTCCTAAAATTATTTACAGCGATCTTTGACCTAACCACAGAAATCTGAAAAATTCCAACTTGTCCTAGGTGTAGTGGTCCTTTATCAGCTACAATTAACAGTTTGATAAAATAATAACGCCGATAGTGTTTTATCAACTTCACAGTTAGCAGCAGAATTACACAACCAGCTAATAAATAGTAAAATCTTTAAGGTAAAATATAAAAAATATATCTACGAGTGTCTATAAACGTCTTCAGCAAATGATGTTTTATCAGAAAAATCTTAGAAATAAAGGTGTATATTTTTCGTTTTATGCACATTTTACAGAATCACAGAATTAATTTACCTGATTTTGGGTAAGTACACAATAGCACATCATCAGACCGGAGGACTAAAGAAGATACTTCTTCAAGATGGTCTGCAATATTGCCTGGAATATCTGGTATGAATTTCAAACCTTTGTAAAGCTTGAAACGAAATCTGTTTCCACGAGCGTCTATCGTTTCTTTCACATCCATTGTGAATTCCTTCAAACGAAATATAGATATTGCGTGAGTTCTGGGTCGATATGTATATAGGGCTTATGCATCCTCGTGTATATCATTGAGGCATCAAAAAAAAAAATTATAAATGCATATATCGATTAGGGCGAGTTTCACATTCACGGCATAGAAACATATTGTAATTTGAAACACTAATCAATATTAAATTGTTTATGTTTTGGTATTTTGATACATACATACGAGGATATACAAATATCAATATAAAACGACGGTATAAATATCCAACCGAAATGTAGGTATCATTGACTTTATCACGTTATGGACATTTTATCATCCCAAGTCATACACCAAACATATAAATATTTCATGATACTAAAGTATCTTAATATGGCACAAGGAAATATTGCCCAAGGACATCATTTTGGCAATAAGTTTAACATTCTTTTTCAGCCTGCATCTCTCGAAAACATGTTTTGCGAGTTTATCGGTCAGCTGTTCAAAGGTTGTATCGATACCAGGATATTCTGAACAGACCATCAAATAACAAGACAAAATATAAATACTAAAAGTCGAGTGGAGGTATACATTTTGCTATGTAGAAACAGAAAACTCACCATAGAGAAATATGAATCATTATGCTTTCTTTGTAGAGAAAGGTCGGCGTAAGTGATGTTTAAAGAAGAGTCATGTTTTTTTTATTTCAAGTTCTAATTATCTTGCAGACCTGTTTTGATAAGTCAGTTAGGAGAGCAATATAGTGTGGTCATATGTGTGAGACGATTTCATTTTCGTGTAACCATTCTCTTGATTATGATTATATGGCTGATTGATAAGTTCAGCTTTACTATTCCCTATTTAAGGCTGTGTAATCGAAGACTGGTGTTCTTTGGGCAGTTTATATCGAAGAGGTAACACTCTTAGGTAAAGAGAAATTTGCAAAGTGGTTACTATCTCTGAAAGAGCAGTGTTTTCCATCAGAAAGGTCAAACATTTAAGGATATCCATACTGATATGGTAGCAACACTAGGGAAGGATGTCTCTTAATATGTTAAGGTGGAAAGGTGGGTAGCGGAATTTAAGCATGGTAGATAGAATCTTGAGGTAACGCCCATCCTGGAAGGCCTGCCACTGTTGCAACCCTAGAAATGGTAAATAACGTCCATGATATTGTTATGACTGGTAACAAGTTACAGAGAAATATATCCTGCTAGCTTTCTGAAGGGGTTTATATCTATGGATGGAACATGGGTCATCAGCTTCATTTCAGCCCAGAGGCCAAACAACAGTCTAAAAAATGGAAGCACCATAGTTCACGCCCACCAAAGAAGGCAATGATTGTTTCGTCAGCTGAAAATGCTGTGGTCTCGGTTTTCTAGGATGCTGATGGTATTCTGATGGTAGATTATCTGCAAAAGTGATAAACAATTAATGACACATACTATGCATCACGTCTTAGGCATTTAAGAGAAAGTATAAAACTCAACTAACAACAAAATTTTACTAATTTTTCCGCGGCGCTTCCATGGCTGCCACTGACGATTGTTGCTTTAAATTGATTGAGCATCAGTAAGTGACTCTTTTTCGATAAAAAGGGTGTGTGTGTGTGATATATGTTGTAGTATCTGCGTACATTGAAGGGTATAGAAGACAGGATTACATGTGTGCGAGTGACTCCAATGTGAGGCCGTTGTCCTTCGTAAAAATAAAAAGCTAAGAAATAAAACAAGTCTTTATTTTCGTCGTTGTTATTTGTTAATATACGACTTGCGAAATGGTAAATAGTTTTAAGAATATTGGTTAAAATCTTGGTTGAACAATAATACGAACCAGCAATATTTGCTTTGATTCTTGTGAAGTTAAGAAATTCAATATAAACGAAGTACTTTATCCTTATCGTTAATTGGCAATCTGAATGAATGTAATTGCAAAGCACGATTAGCTAGTATGCATGTGTTTTAAAATGTGTATGAAGGGTTTTCTTTGTTGCCATGGCCTATGGAATATAGCTAGAAAAATGATATTATCAAATCTACGGAAAATGTCGCACATCCTGGATTTAGTTCAGTCACATTACTGTATATATAGTCTCTATATATATTTATACTTCTTATATGCAATACATATAAAAGTTCAGGTTTTTACGCAATCTTAATGTAAAGAATTAATCTTAAAATATAACTTTATTATCTTGATGGTCCATTGTCTACGTGATATCGTAACCATCTCTTACATTCTATACCTCATTGCAATACCCTTCGCTCTGGTCATCAATGTGAATGTATTTCCATTGAACCTCGATTTTTGATAATTGTATCGTTGTATGAAACATAAGATAAGACATGACTCCGACATCAATCTTTAATTTCGTACAGGAAAGACGTTAGGTTGTTAAGGTTGTTAAAATCAAAAGCTATTTTCTTGGTCTTTCCTTAACATGAAAGAACAATTTAGCATAGAATTTTACATTACAGTCATTCTGTTCACAGTGACGGAGAATCTCCATTTACATTTATCATATATAATTTCTTTATTGATTACACGAAGGTATGGTTGTCTAGATATGTCTGCTTACTGGAAAAGCAACCGAGGTTCGCGAGAAGCCGTTGTCTGAAGTTCCCTTGTTCCTCACTTAGGATGACCCTATAATCGACTTCGTTTTCTGCTGGTTTCCAGTCTGGTGTTGGATTCGTTGACCGACGTAGTTTCTGTAACAGAATATAAGTATTCATTTTATAATTTGACAAGTACTGATTTGTCATCTGATATTTTGTTTCCAATCCTAGAATGTCATCTACTCTAGCTTGCTGAGGTTTTATCTTATGATGCATAATTGCGACCTAAAGCATTCATTAGAAATACCCCGATGTGTAACGATCTGATATCAAATTGCCAAAAAAAGTTGAGGTCGTTCAATTATAGTGCATAATATGCTGTTTGCCTGCAAAGCTTTATCATTATAACAACAATAAATGTCATAGAAAAAAACATATTAACGTTTTCATTTACATTTCCTACAAACGTTGTTTTCCAATCAAAGGCTCGCGAAATAACTTTAAAGACTCATTTCACAAGATCTCATTTAAAATGAAAACTCATTGAAGATACTATGTATATGTATATTCGACATTTTCAAATTCCTTGTTTAATCTTTAATAATCAACGATATAAATTTGTCAACAGATAACAATCATACTTGAAAAGCTGTTTTTCCAGGAGATTCGTACACGACTTTCAAACCAACGGCTATAAACGGTAACACAGGTAGGGTGGCGTATATCCAGCCTGCTCCAGAGACCCATTCAGGGTATACATACTTTCCATATGTAGGTGGCACGTATGATACAAACACCGCTGTCATCATTACCTTCATGCACAAAAATTGACGGTTAGTTATGACATTTACGGTGATTGAATGGCAGTTGAATATACATGATGTATGTTTTATTATCTATGTTGTAAAACATACCAAATTTCATGAATAAAGTGTCTGATAATCAAGATCATATATGATCCGTAACAATTTGTGTCCAATATATATTACCAACATGCAAAATTAGCTGCGCTTTGTGTAATTTGTTACCTTATTGAATGGATACTTTTAGAATATATATCTTGGTATGATGCAAAGTGCCTTTAGATTACCTTGAGAATTTTATTATTTACAAATAAAGATTAATAAAAATGGCGTACAACTAAGAGAAGAGGAGAAAGAAAACGCCAACAAAACTTGATATATCCAGGTACTCTTCTTCCGATCATCAATTCCACGTCCGCAGAGAACCTCTCAGCACCTGGTAAGGAGATCATCGAGTAACGTCACGTGTATATTCATTTAAATCTGCTGTTTGTATATTCGTATAAAAATGATAACAATATGTCCAGAAAAATAACTGTTTAATACAACAAAGACAGCCAAACGTTGAAATATTGCAAATGCTGTCAAAACTGAGCGTTACTCATTTAGTGTTTATAGTTCTGCTTTTGATTTTACGATCATGGTATTTTTCAAACTTTCAAACTTTAACCTCCTACTAAATCGGGATAGTTTATTATTATTATCATCATTATTTTGCACTACAGATACTACTACTATACAGCTTGTCATAAGTCATTTTATCTGTAAATGAACACGTTTTCCTGGGAAGTTGTTTATGAATTTTTTCAGTTTGACGGTAAAATAATTTACAGCAACGCCTTTCGAGACATAATATCGTCTCCCAAATACGAAAAACGTACCGTAAATCCAGGCTACCGTGATGCACTCTATTAATGTAAAGAACATTGGAGCAAAGGCATAGACATACCAGTCAGCCAGCTGGAAAAGATACACGCCACCCTGGAAAGAAAATTAGGTAAAATCATCAGTTATTGTTTATCAATTCATATCAATCTATACCTAGAATAGAATAACGAATTAACGTGTTTGATACAACTGGTTTGTATTATTTTCTCATTGCTATGTATAATAAATTTTGTTTTAAAGCATATAAATGTTCTGCGTTTGTCATAGAGAATGTCAACATCATGCAGGATTCAATTATGTATCGGCAGATTTGATAGTACAAATCATACTCCGATGACGTGATATCCACAAGATCAATAACTAGTTGTAAGCCCTGATATGCCAAAACCTGTACATCAGTTCCAGCTCTGATATCACCTTTCAAATAACCTCTGTATCACATTGGCAAAACGCATATTATCAGAGACGATGCTTTATCTTACGTTCTTCCGGAAATGATCATAACGAATAAAATTAACTACTATATAATCTTACCTGGGTACAGAAAGGTAGCGATATTAAGACGCATATCGACGAGAGAACTATTCTTGATATTGTTTGTCTCTTTTTCATGAAAGAGAAGCAAGCTTCAAAATAGTCAAATTCAGCTTCAACAAGTCCAAACTGAAAAATAATTAACAATAAGGTTGATATACCTCTGTATAAATCTATCGTATATCATAAACAGAAGTATTAACATAATTCAAAATAATGAATGAAGACGATTTCAGATGCTGCTCTGTTGAAAGGATCACCTACTATAAAAGTTGTTATTTGAAATGAGTTTTGTCCTCAATTTTCGTTGTCAGATGAAAATAAAAAAATAAACAAAAATATATATAACAAACCATTGTCCATTTCATGATTTCAGTGAGATATTCATTCTTCTTGGTTTGAATTTTGGGTAAAAAGCAGTTTAACAGAAAAGTGACCATTAGGCAACGACACCATATAGATAAATATGCATCGATCCTAATCTTGGTTTACGTTTTAAACAATAATGACAATATTGCTACGAATATGTTACCATGCTGTCCAATCCAAGTGTTACCATAGTCATAAAAAACAATACTGCCCAGACGTTGGACAAAGGCATCTGTGAAACAGCCAAGGGGTAGGCCACAAAACCTAAGCCTGGACCTACAGAATGGAAAAGTAAATTGTCATTCTCAATCTATATGTTTAGCGTAAATAGATATTATACATGAAATTATCATCTAAATAATATTTTAGATGTATGATAATAGAATACCACAAAAAACATTTATTTCAATATTGAATATAATATATAGATATATATATATCTTAATCCTCTAGTTTAAATAAATGACAATAAGTGCTTTAGGTATTCTTGGAATATCAACTACTGACACTTACCGGATTTTGCAACTTCTGTAATGGGCACATTTGCTTGATGGGCCATAAAACCGAATGCAGAAAATATAATAAATCCACCAAACACACTGGTAGCCTCACTGGCAATTGTGAGAATATATGCGTCCCTAAAATACATGGCATATACCACCGTCATTATTTAGTCTCACGATTCAGATTGTGATAGAATCAATATGCATAAGCTCATCTATATCTTTGTAAATTCAGGCACTTTTTGAAATCTAGGAGAGGTAATAAGTCTCCATAACTTCATAAATTATATGTCTTCGAATTCAAATATTTGATGTAGAATAGGTCTTACACAATATGTAACTTCACCATCTATGAAAGGCAATGAAAAATCTTATAAGAAAATCATATCAACGCTTTGATTGATTCGCTCACTACTTTCAAAGTAATATGACACTAAATATCCTGAAATCTAGTAAAATCTACGAAATATACGGCAACATGTAGTCATTTCTGAAGAATAAGGCAGCTAACTAATCTTTAATTTGGCGTTTGTTAGTCATTAAACGTTTACCTCAGACAGTCATTGTAAAAGGTGTTGAAACTGGAAAGTGTAATTATCACTCCTCCTCCAAGCGCGAAGGAAAAGAAAACTTGGATTCCGGCGTCTAACCAGACCTATAAATTACCTGAAAAGTTAACTACGCGTCGTTCAATGTTTATATTGGGTTATAGGTGACACACAATGACGTTTTCAATTAAAAATACAAAGCAGATTTATCAGTAACAACACTGATTAAAGAGCTCTATATATTGTTTGTAGCATATGTGTTGTTTTCCTGACCAACAAGAAAGTAAGAAAAAGGAAAAAATAACTGCATGAAAGACGCACAAAGGAATGTTAGTTTATATTGTAAATTGAATATCAGATTCCGTATATCTAAACAATTAATCCTACTTCAATACAGCTATTTCGTCTTTCTAACACTCATCAGGGATTTTTCGGGATTAAATAAGGCTAATAAGCAAATTCAAAATTGGTCGAAATAAATGACAAAATTCTTAGCGAGTTGGAAAAGAAGCAAGTCTATATCAACGCATTCGAAATTTGAGAATGTTACATGTTGTATTTACGAATTGTAAACCACGTGTCTCGTACTGATTGCCCACTTCAACTTGATGTTAATAAAAACAATAACTCACTTGGATGTTTGTAAGAGAGCTAAAATCAGGTCTTACGAAAAACATCACTCCATCAACCGAGCCCGGTAACGTGAGAGTGTGAACGAGTAGGATGCTTAGAAGAAGATACGGAAGTGTGGCTGTTACATACACCACCTGTAACATAAATACAATTCAGTGAAATTTTATGTCGTTTTGTTTAACACAACATCAGTTTAGGGTGAATTTATCTGGCTCAGAGGATCTTCCCTCCAGATTTAATATCAACTACATGTTTGTTTTGTCTTTATAGTTTATTAAACAATTGAAAAAAAATTCATACTACGGGGCTGATTGAGAAGCTGTGAGCCTTGTATTGAAGAAGCTGAGCAGGGATGTCCTTTTTCAGCTCTACTATTTCCTGACTATTTAAGGTTGTGTATTAGTAGACTGGTGTCATTGAGTCAGTTTATGCCAAAGAGGTAATACTCTAAATTGAACAAGACAAGTGACTGTTGCAATATGGACAAAAAGAGCTGAAAGAGCTTTAAAAGAGATTTAATAATTGCATACCAAAAGTCAGGCACCTGCGGTTATCCATACTGATGTGGTAGAAACACTAGGGAACGATGCCCCTTCGTGTGCTACAGAGAAATGGTGAGTGGCAGAATTTAACCGTCGTTGCAACCAAAGACTTTGGGATAACGTTGCAACCCCGGAATTGGTCAATAAGCTCCGTTATATTGTTGCGGCTGACATGCAAGTTTTAGAGAGAGATATAGCCAGTACAACTGGGATTTCACATTAAGGAGTACATTCAATTCTAACGGAGGATCTTGTAGTAAGAAAGCTTTCAGCGAATTTGGTCTCAAGAATTGTGAGAGTTGATCAAAAGAACGCATACAAACTTTGTCGCGTGCTGATCTGAACCCGAGAGGCCAAAGAATAGTCTAAACTATGGAAGCAACCTGGTTCAACCCCGCCAAAAAACCCAAAGTCTGTTCCATTACCTGGAAAGGTTATGGGTAAAGGTTCTCTGGGATACTGATGGTATTCTAATGGAAGATAATATGTACAGTCAATGAAACATAGTATGCATTACTTCTCAGGCTGTTAAGAGAACTTATTAAACTTGAGAGCTGCGGAAAACTTGTTAAAGGTGTGTTGTTCCACCAGGACAATGTTCCTGTTTACTAGTCTGTCATTGCCATGGCTGCATTAGCTTTGAATTAACTGAGCATCTGCCTTATTCATCTGATCCTGCGCTATCAGATTTTCATCTATTTCTAAACTTGAAAATGCTATTTCTGGTACCCACTTTCGGTCTGGTGATTACGTCATACATGCGGCGGAGGACTTTCTGAACGTCCATGCAAAGGACCTTAAAAGTGCCATCGTGGCCCTTAAACATCGCTGCTGACATAAGTGTATAGATACTGAAGGGGAATATGTTGAAAAATAATGCAATATGTCCTCTCAAAATCAAACCCTAAAATATGAGGCTCACAACTTATCAATCAGTCCTTGCATTGATCTCTACTACATATACCGTTTAATCAATACGTTACCTTTCCAGATGTCCGGATACCTTTACTGACACAGAGACATACCAGAGCCCAGGACACAGCCATGCATACTACTACGTTTCCGTTTATAGAGCCTATGTTATCAAGTCCTGATGATATGTCAAGTATTTTGTACCTTAAATATATATCATTGTACAGAATTATTTAATTTCTGATTGAGTGGAAAAAACAAATTCTGGTTTTATTGTATTATCGAAAGCAACGTCGATTTTTTCCTTTTTTTCTGAGTATGGGAAAAGAATAATATGATTTATATTATTAATAATAAACTTCTAAACAACAAAAGGTTCTTTTACAGTGAAGAGGCAATTCCCAAGTAGAAAAACAGCAACGTCTTCAAGGTTCTATTTCTTATTATTGTTTCAATATGTAATGGGAAGTCGTATTAATTCTGTCTAGTAAATAGCCAAGTAACGTTCTGTATGCACAGTCAGACGAGAAAACTGACGTAACGCAGTTTACAGTATCAAATTGTACTTATGTTATACATTTGAATGATCATAATCTAGATGAGTAACAGCAGTACTTTTCCAAGCCGAATATCTTCATCCATGTACCAAATTAGAACAGGCGAACCCCGTTCTTCTTCTGCTATATTTATTGAAAAATAGATATGTGAACGTATGATGTATTCGTATGCGTTTGTTTTTTACTTACTGCCAAAATTCCTCTGCCGCACTGTGACCGTGCCAAATATGAACTTGAGAGGCATTAAGCGTGCTAAGTGTGTTTTCATTGATAAATGACGACAAATTACACAGATGGTTGACAGCGGTTATCTTCGACGTTTCAGGATATGTTGTTCTGATGTTACTTGTATTATGACAGGCGTTAATAAATTGGTGATGAGAATTGTCCTCAGTCCCGTTTTTATGTAAGTTGATAAAGTTTGTCAACTCCATTTCCGTAGCGCTGAAACAGTATGGAGTGTTCCATTCGTTGTCACAGGTACTCCATGGCAACGGGTTGTAGAAACTATAGTACAGATAGTAGAGTGTCCAGGCAAACAACATGACGTAAAAGCATGTAAAAAATACCAATGTCATTTGGAAACCAATGCCGATTCCTAAAACAGAAAAAAATAAAATGCAATGTCATCACCCCGATGCATTAACGGCGCGAATTCGATCTCTGAATTGGATGGTAAAATATTTAGCTCTTTTAAATCAATATAATAGCGATTTTCCATTGTTTTTTCCACTTCATATTCACCTGGTCTGGGAATGTGTGATGATTTTTCGTTAGAGTTATCCCCCTTATAACGTTAGGTAAACGGTTGCTACTTCTGTTAATAATATTTGATAACCAATGAGAAGAAGACATAAAGTGATAGACAATCATTTCTAATTATTCTTTTATTAATGAGAAAGACAGTGTACTCTGTGAATATGATTGCATTGAAATTTATTCTAAAATAAATATTTTAATTATGCAAATGTCCTGGTTCTTGTGCTTTACAAGATTGTCAGGTACATGAAAACAGGCTTCCATTAATACTCTGGGTTGAAAAGTCTGTTTGATATTTCGAGAGACAGATAACAAGCTATATTGCAGCAAAGGTAAACCATTGTACATAGTACCATCGCCAAAGCTCATGTAAAATTGATTGCCTGAAAGGCTACTCAGGTACGGTATGTAAGGTTGTCTACCGTTTTAAAAGAGAAAATTCCAATATACAAGGTTGGATTTTCTTTCCCCTTTATTCAGCATTAATACTGTGAATATTTTTAATGGACTAATATCAGAATGCACGGAGTGTGGCTTTGCCTATTCATTATAAATAATGACCACAAGATAACATAATACCTTGTCATCTGATACTTCGAGATAAGTATACTGTATACCACTGTGTATGAATTGAATATGATACAATATTATAATATCTTGATAATCATATTTCAATACTTAAAAGTAATATATATCCGCTGAAATGAAAGGAAAGCATACAGTAACATCCGCTGTATATATTAGCACTAACAAATCGATAAAAAATATATTAAAACGTAAACAGATATAAAATTAAAAAATTGCCTAAATACTGAGTTTCATTATACCTTTTTCACTGTGACAAAATAATGCTAAAGGACTAGATGAAGGAAACTAATTAAAAACGTCACGGACATGTCGAATATATCCCGGACAAATAAAGAAGCCTTAACTAATGATTGATAACCACAAACAACACTAAACGCTTGGAATAATGTAAATAAAATTGCACCTGAAACGACTGTTTCAACGTTGATAAAAAGGAGGCTTTTTTAGATAAATTTCAATTGTCTTTTGAATAAGAAACGTTACCTTGAACTACAGGACAATAGCTCCAAACATCTTTGAATGACTTTCCGGTGAACTGTCCGAGAGATAACTCCAGGAAATACAATGGAATTCCCATGAAGAGTACAGCAAGGACGTATGGTATAAGGAAGGCTCCTGAAATAAGATGTTTTTGGTGAAGTCAAAAAACAATCAAGGATGCCATAGATAAGATAAATATATGGCAGAATACATCTATATTTTCACGAGTGCGAAGCTTATTGCAAATACGGATACAATCTGTTATAAAGGGAAATATAATTAAATATACATATAATATTGAACGTGAAATCTTTCTTTTCATTACATTTTAAAAGAAAACAGATTATTGTAAAAAGTAGATATGCTGTTCAATAATAAAATGTTTTATATACTAAATAAGTGAAGTTATGCGTGGGAAAGATGTGATCAGCGAATTTCTCAAAGTGACCAGAAACAACGTTATGATTGATATTAATCGCCACTCGAAAAGCTATAGCATCTCTATCGCTGATATATTATTATCATATTACTATTATTGTAGCAATAATGATTTAAGTTTTTTTATAAACTGATATATTCCTATATTTCACTGACGACAATGTAACAAAACGCATTTGACGGTAGCTTTGTCAAGTAGGATTAAGTGTTGTCCGCATTATTATGTATTTTAATTCATAATTAAGTATTATTTACACATTTTTTTTCTATTTTACAAAACTCATAAAAATCTTGCCTCCGCCATTTTTCATACACACGTAAGGAAATCTCCAGATATTCCCAAATCCTACACTCATTCCAAGAACTGAAAGAAGAAACTGAAGTTTACTGCCCCATTTTGTCCTGCTTTGAATACTGCTTCTGTCTTCCTCTGCAACCTGTGCCGTTGAATCCATTTTGTTTCATAGAAAAGCAAGGTTCTATGCATTTATATACCTTAACATTTAAATTTAAACAGTGTAAAATGATACTTCTGGGAAAATGTAGTTTTACATATCATACATATATCAAATGACGTTATTTAACACGTTGTTCTTTGTCTTGTATTACGTGACACGTGTTTCTAATAAAAAACACTTGTAGCGTTATTTATTTTTCAAAATGATTTTGTTATTTTTTTTCCCTTTTTTTAATTATTATTTTTGTAACTTTTATTATGTCATCAAGTTTCATAAACGATACTGATTTATTTCAAATTATACCCACATTTCTACTACTCTTTTTATATTTAACGTTTTTTAGTTGTATTACAATAACAAACATATCATTTTCCTTGGTTGATATGCCACGTAACCAAGATATCTAAAGTATATATACATATGTTATGAATATGTATGAATATTGTTAATTTCATTAAGATGTCCACACACTATGTTGCATTGGTCACACAACTAACCATGCTTTGTACACCGATCGCAAAGTACTTAGATAATATAATTGTGCATTACCGATCGTCCATCAACACCATATCATCCGAAAACAGTTCGTTATCAAAAGACTGAGAAATTTACGAAGAAAACCTAAAGTGTTTAAACCACAAGAAACGTCTGAGATCAATCAAATGTGGTCATAATGAATGCCAAAATTATAGGTTGGAAAGACGCATTTTTAAGGCAGTTTTAAATTTTGATGGTAAGTGATATGTAAATTTCGACCCGTGATACTACTCAAATGAAGGAAACTTAGGTGTGCGAGGTTACCGCAAACATTGGGGCTTAAAATGTTGAAATCTAGGAGACGACTGAGGAGAATCAAAAGTGATCGTAGGAAACGTAAACTAGAAATCAAAGGTAATTTTGTAATACTCAAAACATTTACTATTTGTTAAACACAAGAATGATACAAAATGAAATCAATTCAGTTTTTCCCAATGTGCATATCATTTAAAAAAACACTCTTTTTTCTCATTAATTTTGTTGATATTGATGTTCCAACAAGAAGACTCAATGTATAATATTCTGACTAGGTTCCTCTACGTAGATAAAAGTACCATCATAAGTGTTATCTGATATCAATATACGTACACTTACATGCAAGAACGCATAGTTTTCGTGAATTACCGATCATAAAATCTAGATTATCAGTTACTTCTACGACAAAGCTACGGCGGTATACACTTGGTAGGATTGTCGTTTTTTCTCACAGGATTTTAAAAGATGCAGGTTGATGAAGTTTATGGGGAAGTTTTACGGCCGATATAGTGATGTCATTGATGAATACTCTATTTCTTTGTGTGATATGAAGCTGGACGTATTTGATGCTCGTTGCTTTGCATGTTGAATCCGTTGATGTATGCATTGTTCTCATTTGAGCATGTGACATTACTAACTTGGATTGACCAAGGTTTATACGGTTCGTGTCGTCGATAAAACAGAAGACGCTTACTCTTTACGGAACACATGGTCTTATTCTCCTTGTACTTTTTCAGGAGTATCCATGTAAATCTTCATTTTGTTCACATTTTGTCCTAGTTTTATTGAATATGATTTGGATTGTGATTATGCTTATATGTTGTATTTTCTTGTTGTTTTTCAACTATATGGACATGCGTATCATCATCATTCAATATTGTACTTCACTCTCCTCTTTATCCTTCGTCATCTTACATATAACTTGATATACATTAATGAATTGTTGATAATTTAATAATTAATGAACAAAACCTTTATGTACTAATAAAATAATAGATACAGTATAACCCTAATAATGCTTGAATCTGTGTGATACAGCTGTACTAAGATTTGAATATTAGATCTAATAGAGTATACAGTGTTAAAGTATACTCAGCACGCTTTGTCAACAGCTGCACATGCCTATTTTACACATATATTTCATATTGTAACAAAATAGCGTTTATGGTTTTTAGTGACAAATGAACGGAATTTCCATGATTTTGATTTCCCACAATTCGATTGAAAAAAATATTGCATCCCACAACTCTTGTCCCATCTGTAAATCTGCGAGTTTACGTGCATTCTACATTTCGGGTATTTAAATATTCTGACTACAGCTACAGCATAAGGCCTCAGAAGATACTGATTTCATTGTATAAGGAGAGGGTCAATGTGTATTGAACATAATATCAAATACGGTATCTGTGACTTACCAGGTGGAACATGCTCCTTTGACTCAGTTGGTACAGCCAGTCGATTATCACACCGGAGACCCGGGTTCGATTTCTGGTCCGGGCACTCGACAGAAATGTGAATGTTCCTTGTTCTTTCACATTGGAGCACAACGTGGGACATTTGGAGCTTCGAATGGAGACTTTGAAAATCTCAATAAAAACAGGGGGTAGCGTCAAATGAGCAGGAGAGTGTGACTTGTATATAGAGTGAAGTACGATCACTGTCACTCAGCTTGACTGGCGCCCAACGAAAGCCCAAGGGTTGTGATATTTGGAGTCTCGTGTTAATATTTATGAAATATTTAGAAAAACAAGAGGGGTAGTGTAAAAGGAGCGGGTCGAAGAAGCTTGTATATGGTCTCTGTCACTCGGCTGACGGAGCATGCTTCTTCGACTCAATTGATACAGTCGGTCAATTGTCACGCCGGAGACCAGGGTTCGATTCCTGGTCAAGGCACTCGACAGGAATATGCATTTTTCTTGTTCTTTCACGAATTATTACATTGCGTAAACGTAAGTTTCTAAATTAGAGAAAATGTTGCTTCACTTCATATGATTGAGATAGCATTCTGTCCAATGTTTGGCTATACAGGTAAATAACCTTCGACAGGTCATTGTAGCTCATGATACCAACAGCGGTGACCATTTGTGAACGTGTGAATTATATGCCCAAATGGTTTTTTTTCAATCTTTTATATGTAGGTTTGTGTTCATACAAAACATTTTAAAATGTAACTAAAATGTTGGCAATCATGGACAAATTAGAGCAAAACGCATGATACTGCCGAATTACCACAGTTGTTGATATAGTTTCATTGATCAGAAGAATACCACAACACTTTTGTACCTGCCACATATGAAAGTGAAATGTTTACCTTTCAAAATAAATAATTTGACGTAGAAACACATGTTTGATGACTTCGGCAAATATATGTATTTTACGGAAATTTACGTCTGTTCCCATGGAATAAAACGAGGGAGAACGCCTGTCACAAATCGTAACGGACGTATTTCAGAATATGCAAATCAAAAGATATACAAATATAAGCCGATTCCAAAGATTATTAGAATATTATCGGTTATCTATAACCGGGTTCACTTTTCCCGAAGTGAAATAGTTTTGTTATGAGTGCATATACATGTACATGTATAAGGTAAAAACTTCAAATGTACACTTTTCCTTTACAGGTTAAGCTACATTTAATCAGTGTCCTTGTAAACAGAGCAATGTATAAATCTCACGAGAGTTCAATACCAGTTTTGTTTTCATTTAACGGCATCAATACCAAAAAGTAGTTTTTAAGATTTTCGTTTCATATTTCTCCGCATAAAATTGTACACCCAAATACAAATGCGCCTTCAGTATTCATGAACTTCGAACAATCTTTCACAAATAGCATGTATTAGTCTATGTTAATTCTTTAGAAATTATTAATTTTGATAGATATTTAAATCAATAGGATAATTTCATCAAGATGTTCTGTGTTTTTATTGTATATACTTTCTTGGGGTTTTTTGTTACAGATATTAAACATTTTTGACCAGGAAATGCGACACGTTTTTGCTGCGTGGAGACCTGGTTTCAAAATTGTTTCATGTCGTCATACCCTTTACATATAAGAGGAGAATCAAAATAATAGCAGTTTGAATTTTAGTCCCTCTCTAGAGCAATGAAATTACTAAAATAGCTAGTCTATGGATGTTTTATCGGGGATTAACTTCAATAATGAAACTTAGCTTTTACTGCAATTCTACTAAAGTCAATGAAAGATTTCACAGATTCTTAATGTAGTGGAGACACTAATTTATATATTCATGTTCTTCCAAATCCTTCCAGGAATTATCGGCGTGAAGTTAACAAATATCAGTCTTCTAGTTGTGTCTTATTTACTGGTAATTCGTAATGTTTATAGTAACTCCGAAATGGGAGCAAAACAGATGTCATAGATTGAATCCTCGGTCGTATTATCGTGGTTGAGTCTACATGTAGAACAAAATTACAGACAAGGATCTATACATCAACCCATGAAACCCAATACTAGTATATCACAAAAAATATCATCCGAAAAAGGACTGCATTCAGATGTCAACGATATCAAGTTACTTTACATTTCACTTAATGTGCATGAATGGGCACTATGATAATTTGAAGACTTTTTCTTTCAGAAAAAGCTGAAAAATTGCAATATATACATGAACAGCTGCTTCTTTGTATGTAAATGACAGTTCAAATTGCGAAATGTATATTGAAAACTAATATGTGGCTTTGTTGTAAACATCAGATTTGTGAACTATACAATGTTTATAGTAGGCAAAAAACTATTAAAGATTTGAGATTAGTCTACATGTGTGATTCTCTCAAAGGGACTAAATGGTTACATTTTGTTATCTTTCCTATGCGTTTGATTTCGAGCATACTCTCTGAGAGAAATTGATTAAGATTATCAGCTTCAAAAACTAACACTATTCAATACTCGCTGTTGTGCCTACCACCCATTACTGTTTTGATAGGGGATTGCCGAGTTCATAACGTGACCTTTCGGAGCCTCGATTTCCCCTGCTGTTTTGATATCATTTCTTACATGTATAGTTATGTGATTAGCCACAACTTAGTTTGCCAACCATGATTTGTTATACATGTACACAAGTGTTCAGAAACCGTTGAGTGTCGTAAATGTGCTGTATAGTCCAAAATTATCAATAGTTCAGTTTATTTTTCAAAGTGATTTTTCATTTTTAACATTCTTCATAGAAGACGTTGTTTCAAGT